CAAAGAGCCTCTTATCGCAGCTCCTAACCATCTTCAAACAATGCTGCTTCACTTACAGAAATAAGACCTTAAAATCTACTCCAAACAAAGGCAAAGTAAACAAGACAGCTCAACATAAGCTCTTCAGAAAGTAATCAAGAACAGATGGCCTGAGACCAAGAACAATCTCCATCACCAAATCAAGCCACATTCTAAAGTGTGCAACCAGCTCGCAGTTGAAGACGGAATCGTATTTCAAGGAAATCAATGCCTTGTTTTGATATCCCTTAGGGCCCTCCCATCCAGAGTTCACAGATCGCATACTGACATAGAAGGGTGCCCAACACAGGCCAGGGAAAGAGTCTACTGGCCCAGAATGACTGTCCCTAAAGAATTAGGTCCGTGACTAAACCAGCATTTTTCATCACCAAGGAGAAATGTTAGTCGCATTGGCGACCGTACCAGTTGCAAATTCAAGCCCTATAGTTGACAGCCCTGTACTACTGAATGTAAAGAAACATACCATCTTCATAATTAATCATTAGTTAAATATAGTGACATAAATTCATGTTTTAGTATTTATTTACGAGTCATTTACAACTGTCATTATAATCCATTTCAAAGTGACATAACTATACTTAAAAACCCCTGGCTGCATAATCCAACGGCAATATACACTCTAGAAAAGAAACCCATTTAATAGCTCTGGTGTGCAATGTTCCTGACCATATATTAACAGGGACTGGGAAGGCCTTGCACCATGTGCAAATGGCGCATTAATTTACAAAAAGTCGCATCAAAAAACTGCCAACCGGGCCCAGCATATGCCCTGGTCATGTAATAGGTGATAAGCACTTTAATCTGTGTATTTACTTTGTAATACCAAAAATAAAAACATGAAATATCTTTGTTTCCTTGATCTGCAATCATTCTTTTTTGTTTATTTTCATCCCCAGACCTCTCCTCACTTTCAGCTAAAAACGAGGTTCTGTCAAGCCATGACATGCGCTTCACTCTTGTTTTCGTCGTTTTCACCCCAATGAATAAGAATTCATTTGCATTTCATTTAAATGTTTCCAAAGAAAGTTCCAAGACTAGATGGTCAAGGGTAAAGAAAACTCTTAAGTCTTTTTAACGAAAGTTCGATAAGATAGATCACAAAAATGATAACACCAACACGACTGATAAATGTGAAGAAACGAGCACTCCTTCCACACTTTCAAGGCACACAACTGCATGTATAAATGCAGACAGAAAGTTCCAGAAGTGGCTAACTTTATAGCCATGGCTAGTTTATGAAAGAGATGCCATGTTCTGTAAGATTTCCCTCAAACATGGCAAAAAAAATGCCATAACCTGGAAATTCAAAACATTTAAAACCAGCAGCATGATGCAACACGAACAACTGATAGATCACACACATGATGTGAGTGCAGGGGAGTTAAGTGCAAACTTTGAGGCTGCTGTTTCAAAAGCATTATGCAAAGAGGATAAAGTAACACTTGTTATTTGGCAGCAACAAAAGAAAAGGCTTCTAAAACCAAGCCATTCTGTCTCTCACACTCTGACAAAGGGAGTGTGACTGGCAACTTAAAAGAACTTTTTGCATGTATGGTTTTAGCAGAAACCGTATTAAAGTTATATTTATTGGTAATGGAAGTGAAGTAAGTCAACCATACTTACTAGAAGTTCAGTGTAAACAGTTTTGCCCACAGTTGTTACCACAGTTATGATTTTTAATACGGTTCAGTTCTAAAGTTGACTTTTACAGTAACATTCCATAATCTTTTTTAAGCCATGAGACAGGTACAGTAGTCAGGGTTACATATCATACATTAACTGCAAATTATGAAATACTAACTGAAATGAAACAAAAAGTAGGTACTCAAACCAAAGTAAAAATACTGTACTGCTAAGTTAAAAGACTGTTAAGTACTACTGCCTAGTCCCACATTTAGCGAAACATGTTTAAAAATCAGACATAAACACTTTCGTGCATCATCTACCATATTGTTTTCAAGAAGCACCTAGTTGGAATATGGAGCGATACAAAACTGGTCAAGATGTGTTAGATGAGATATGGAATGAGTCCAGAAAGGAAAATTTTTTCGATAGTGACAGCAATTTTAATGATTTTGAGGAGAACTCTGGAGGGAAAGGGGATGAGGAAAGCATCGACTCTCATGATTCAGATGGTGAAGATTCCTTTGATGGTGAATATTCTTCAGATGAAGGCCAAGAAAGCAGCAGACACCAAATGCGACAAAATAGGCCAAGACAACAGCAGCCTAAGCCTGTCTGGCAAATGGCAAATGGTACTCCACAAAGTAGTTTTCCATATACAGCAGACACTGGAGTAAAGGTACCTGCTGCAGGATTTGAGGCATATGATTATTTTGCCCTTTACATCAATGACAATCTGATGAATTTTGCAACTGAAGCTAATTGTTCTGCCAAACTATTTACTTATTCTACTAATCTGGGTAGGTCGAGTCGTGCTAGTGACTGGTATGACACAGCCTGGAGAGATGAGACAGTTTTTTGGGTTGTTTTTTCTGATGGCAATTGTTCATAAACCTTGCCTTGATTTATTTTGGTCTAAGGATCCTCTGTACTCCACTCCTATTTCAATGCCATAATGAGTTGCAATCGTTTTCAGTTGATTTTGAAGTTTCTTCACTTTAATGATATTGCCCTAATGGCTCCTGCAACAAGCTGAGACCTCTCATTGACCACCTGTTTGAGAAGTTCCAGGAAGTGTACACACCAGCCCAAAATGTTTCTATTGATGAATCTTTGCTTCTTTGGAAGGGAAGGCTGTCTTACAAGCAATACATACCCCTGAAAAGATCCCGATTTGGCATCAAAAAGTTTATGTTGGGCGAAGACAGTGGAAACACCTATCGCTTCAAGATTTACACTGGTTAACAGAATGTCGAGCCTGCATAGCAAGAGTTGTCAGTCTCTGAAAGAGTCGTGGTTGATCTTACACACCCTTTTTTAGAAGTGGGCTATCATTTGCATACTAACAACTGGTATACTAGTTTACCATTGTACAAGTACCTACATCAGCATGGAACCTTGGCTTGTGGCACAATAAGGAGCAACTGAAAGGGGCTGTTGCAGCAAGTGAAAAATGCAAAGTTGAAGAAAGGTGAAGTAATGGCAATACCATGAGATTAACTTTTGGCTCTCACCTCAAGGACAAAAAAGATGTCTACACGCTAAGCACAATTCATGACCATTCCATGCTGCAGAGACAAGACAGATGTCACAGGAACCAGCATCAGACCAGACCAGCCTGTGTTTTTGACTACAACAAATATATGAGTGGTGTGGATCGCACAAAACAACTGATGTAGCCATATGAAATTCCCAAAAATATATAAAGTGGTATAAAAAGGTGGCAATGCACTTTCATCAACTTGCACTTTCTTGACTAGCTTCATTGTGTATCAGAAGGATAATGGAAGGAAGCCCTTACTTGCTTTTGAGCATGATATAATAGTTTATTGTAAGTCTACATTTTGGACACAGAAATGGAGATCCTGCCCTGCCATGGAGGAACACATTGCAAGGTTCACTGAGCAACACTTTATCGCCACCATCCCAGCAACAGAGGCAAGGCAGAAACCCCAAAACAGTGCAGGGTTTGCTACAAGAAGGTACTTCACAAAGAAAGTCATTATCAGTGTTCTGGCTGTCCAAGCAACCCTGGGCTCTGCTATTAACCTTGCTTTGAACTGTGCCACACAAAACACACTTACATGACTTGATCTGTGTAAAAATAACTCTGACTTTAATAAACATTGCTCAAAGTGAAAGGGTTATGCAAAAGAAAGTGAAAATATTCCTTTATTAATTTTTATTGTTTTAATGTGAGCGTTTTGTATGGTTATTATTCAAAACTATATTCATTCCAAAACAATAAGATGTTTAACAGTATTCTGATAATATGATTGAAAAAATAATGTGACTAAATACAAGTAATATGTACAGAGTTGATTTATTAGCAAAATTTCATGTCATAAACTTTAGTTTAGATCAAGTTGTTGCTTACTTTATGCAAAATAATTATTTTGAATGATGTAATTTACTATCAAATTACAAAAATCACTACATTGTACAAGTTGAGAATAAAGACTTTTTATTGTAGTTTCAGAAAATGATACTTGTTCCTCGCGAAGCGAGGCACGGAGCGTCGAGCCGCGAGATTTATAATCTCGTCGCGCGCAAAACGCGCGTGTATCACACAAGCATCGTAAGGCCAGCGTGATTTCGTCTTGGCTATAAATCTATAGAGTTTGGTTGGTGTCCGCCTTGATGTCATCCAAAAGTAGTGACGTCAAACTGCACTATGGATTTCCAGGCAACCGATTGCCGTCGATGACAAAGCTGCGGGTTTTATTCATGAGAGGGTTTTTTCATACCGGTGTGTGAATTATAACAATGTTTACGGTCGGTGAGTCACCACCCAATATCTCAGGCAAATAAAAGAGAACAGCAGACTCAACAACAGTGGATGCAACAAGTGGCTGGAAATCCTCGCTGGGAAAGAATTACAAACAAAACTCCGCAAGACCGAGAACGTCGACTTGAAATTCAGGGCGAACAACGGCACAGCGAAGGCAAACGCTGTAAACTAAACACAGAGGATGTAAAGAGGCAGCAACAAAATACTACAATTACCAGTGTTCTCCTTATCAGGCGGTAACCGGTAAAATTTACCGCCTGAAGCAACAGTTCTTACCGCCTGCAACCACTTGAAGGTTTACTAAAACTATATAAGTTGTTTAAAAAAATACGCAAGTTGTGATCCGCTCCGCATAAGTAAATGAATGAAAATATGGAAAAATAAAAAGTATACACATCTTTTGTCTCTGAGGACTTTATTTAATTGCTGACTGGTACTACGAAGCACTGGACTAGCGATTTTTTTCGCGGGCTTTTGTACATTCCTTCGTGCAGGTGCACAGACTCGTGCATTTGTGTCATTTCTCATCTGTTGCTCGCCGCTCACGATGAAGCGACAGCAGTCCATGCTGTCATTTTTATCCAGAGAAAGCAAGAAAACACGCGACGAAGCAGGTAAGAACTTACCATAAGAAGCTTTTTGTGTAAACCTTTCGAAGTTTCCACATGATTAGTTTTCAGTCATAGTTTCCTGGAAAGTGCGACTTCCGCGAATGGAATTACTTGTTGACCATAGCGACAAAGGCTGCCTTTATTCCTAAAATTCTTCGTCTTGAAGTGTTCAAAATACTTTACCGTCAATTGGCTAACAGGATGCTAAAAAATAGCAGCCTTCATGGACTCTAAAGTTTAGATTAAAAGTTAGATATTTTAGACTGTAAACTGTGAAGAGACATTTGCAGCGATCGGAAGCGGAGAGACCGCTGACTTTAAAACGATTCTTCATGTAGGCCACCCCAAAGTTATCGTCAGAAAAACACGCTTTTCTTTACATGGGCCGCGCACTATGGAAAGAGAACATTGAAGACAGAATAAAAGTACTGGAATCAAATGTTTTTGATGTTTTCTCAAGAGTCAATCTATAAATTTAAAGGGAAAAGTTATACATTGGGCTAGAAGTCCCTTCATATGTGATGTATCTTTTAGAAAACAACACAGTCCATGATGACCATCAACGTGTACAAATTGAAGCTGAAGTAGAACCATCAGCAATACCCGCCCCAGTAGTTGCACCCCCGCTGATTGATGAGCCAATACCAGGTACAGTGGCACCTTCAGCAATACTGTCCTCAGATGCACCTTTGTTAATTGAGAAGCCAATGCCCTTGGGACCACGATCAATAGATGCCAGTTCAAAAATCTGTACTATTCCTGAACAGCAGCACCTGCGAATCCTGGACGAAGCTTTTGGGAGTGACCTTCACCATGGATTACACAATCATGTCCTTTGTGCCAAAAACGGTTGCAAGTCACTATCCTCTAGTGAAAAAAGCAGGCAGTTACCATTGAAGCCTCATGTCTTCAAACACGAATGGGTTGATGACGATGCTGCATTTTGTTGTAAAAGTGGTGTATGGTGGTTGGCCTTAGAAGAGGGCAAGGGTATGTTCTGTTGTCTCTGTAAAAAGCATAACAAAACCGGGAAAGATGTGAAATATGCTTCTGCACCAGGTACACGATACAGAAAGGTCGCAGTGTTAGAGCATGGCAACTCAGAAGAGCACAAGCAATCAGTAGGAAAAGAACTTCTTCAGCGGGCATCATGGTTACAGAAGGAGATAGATAAGAAAGCTGAAGTTGCTGATGAGGTTTTGGTGCAAGCATTTGCAGCATTTTATTTCACTGCCAAACAAGAAATTTCCAACATGAAGGTCTTGCCACTTATTGAATTTTTAACTCGGTATGGGTTACAGGACATGAAGTACTTTACCCATAGGTCTGAGAGGTGTAGGCAAGAGATCTTTCTGGCAATTGGCCAAGTACTTAAAAGTCAAGTAGTGAAAGCCGCTGCAAATGGTCGTTATTTTTCTCTTCTTTCCGATGAAGTAAGTGACATTGCCGTAACAGAACAATTGGTCACTTTTGTCCAATACGTATCTGATGCTCAAGTTCAAACAAAGTTTCTCTCTGTTCAAAATCTTCTTGAACACCATAGTAGTGCAAACTCTGATGCCATTGTGGACATGCTAACCCAAGAGATTGACAACGACAAGCTACAGTGGGGATCACTTGCAGGCCTGGCATCTGATGGTGCTTCGGTATTCACAGGCAGTAAGAATGGAGTTGGTGTGAAGCTGAGAAAGAAACAAGAAGAACGTATAGATGAGGGAAGAACCTCAATAATGCAGCAACTATGGTGTGTTTGTCATCGGCTAGCTCTCGCTTGTTCCAATGCTAATGACTCTGTAAATTTTGTATCTGTGGTTGAGAAAAATTTGCGGCAGCTGTGGTCTTTGTTTGAAAATTCAAACAAAAAGACAGCATTGTATGCTAAGGTGCAGATGAACTTAAACAGTATAATGGTGAATGAGAGAACTAGGAAAGTAGTAACACGCAAGATCCAGAAGGCATGCCGTACGAGATGGCTTTCACTGGGGAAAGCAGTGAAGAGTTTGAAAGAAGATTACCCAGCGGTTCTCACAACTTTGAAAGCACTTGATGAAGATCATCACGATGCTGCTGCTAAGGGTTTATTTATGCGACTGAACACTTTCAAGTTCATTGGAGCGATCTACATTTTAAACAAGGTCATCCCAATCCTTGACACAGTCTCCAAGTCCTTTCAAAAGGGATCTGTAACCTTCTCGCACATTGCACCAAATGTTGCATATGCAAAAATGAAACTTGAGCAAGAAGCCCTAA